GGTCTGCAGGGTCTCACTATGCAGATTGGATTTGCAGTGGTCCTTGTTTTTAGCCTCCCAAACGCTAGGATTATAAGCATGCACCACCATGCTTGGTCGCAGTCGCCATGTCAGCACACCCTGGGGGCCAGCAGGCCAGGGATCGGACTCCCTGCGGCTGCCTAAGCAGGTGCTCTAATCTGCTGAACTGTCTGGCCAGCCCTTATAATTGTCAGTTTTAGAATTCAGTGTTTTGACAATTTTTAATTGAAAGTGTCATGAGACAGCTGTAGTTTTTCCTATTGGTTACAAGGAGTGCCTTTGTGTGCTCATTTTTATGGTTTCCTTCTGTCATACAAAGTAAAGATGAAATCAAGAAAAATGATCCTTGTGAAAATACTCATTTGAAAACCTTGTATCTTGAAGTATCATTATGTAAGGTCAGTGGCATTTGGGTTTAGTCACAGACATTTGAGGTTTTAAAACATGTTTCTGTAAGCACTTTTAGGGTCTCCTGTACTTTATGCAGTTCCTGATGCCACCAAGTTGGAGCTCTTTGGGGATTTGCACTGTAGACAAGAGTGCTGATTTTCTGTCCACATTGTTGGTTTTTCAAGACTTGTTTTCCTTTCCCACATGTTTCTCTTCTGTCTTGTTTGGCCTTCATCCTTTGCAGTTTTATGGCATTTTGGGAAGGAGAATTTGTTGAATTAGCTGTGGGGAGAAGGTGAATGATGGCTGTGAACAGGCAGAATATCTTCATCGAACATAATTTTAGCTTCACCTTGGAAGATCATAATAAATCACTTCATAATGAAGTAGTAATACATATTTGATGTTAGGATATATAGTAAAATACATAGATACATTGAATATTTCTGAATTTCAAAATTTAATGATGCTTTTTTTTTTTTTTTTTTTAATTGGTACAGGGTCTCACTATGCAGCTTGGACTCGTAGTGATCCAGCCTCCCCACACTGGAAATACAGGCACGCAGCACTGTGCTCAGACTCGGTGGCCGGCTCAGTACACCCTGGGGGTGGGGCCGGTGTAGCATGCGGTGCAGAGGATTGAACTCTGGTCCCTACGCTTGCCTAAGCAGGCACTTAGTACGCTGAGTTATCTCGCCAGCCCAGATGACACTGATTTTTGACAGTGTTTGAATATATTTAGAGCTGTAGAAATCTCTTCCTTTTTTGAGACAGGGTCCTGCTATGCAGTTCAAGCTGGCCTTGGGCTTACTTTGTAGCCCAGGCTGGTCTCAAACTCGCAGTGATCCTCTTGCCTCAGCCTCCTGAGTGCTGGGATTATAGGCATGGGACACCATGCCTGGCTTGTAGAAGTCTCTTTATTGGAAATTTCATTTGAAAGTCCTATAAAATAATCTAACTGGAGTGTTCACTATGAAATTTGTCTTTCATATTCATAATTTTTTGTTTTGGTGTATTTTAGATGTATCAATTTAGTATTCTTGTTACTTTGTTTATTTTTTTGGCAGAACTGAGGATTGAACTCAGACCCTTGTGCTTGCCAGGGAAGTACTTATTCCACTGAGCCATCTCTCCAGCCCCTCTTGTTACTTTGAAAAGTTCACATATACAGGTTATAGCAACACACATGTACTGTGTATATAGTATATCTTTATAGTGTTCGCTTTCTGAACTTAACTAGAAAATTATAAGGGGTCTTTCTAGAAGAATGTATCTGAATACACAGAAACGTTTGTACATTATTTGTGGGTTATGTACTTGTGAATCTGTGTAGTCTCTAAAATTTAGCTAATCTGAAAGTCATTAACTTGTAGCATCTTTGAGGTCATTCACAGACACGCACACAGTAGCAAAAGCTGAGTAATGTGATGCAGACTTCTTAATTAAGGTTGAACGAGGGACTCTTTGGCTTCTTGTTTCAGCTCTCATGCTGTAAATAAGTGTTCTTACTACACTTTGTTCAGCCTCATGGTTGTTTTTGCACTTCTGCTTTTGCTTTTGTTGTTTTGTACTTGCTTTCTTGCTTGCTTCCTTTCTTTTTTGTGACAAGGTGTAGCTGTGTAGTTTAGGCTGGCCTTAAGCTCACTGTGTGTCCCAGGCTGGCCGTGAATTTGTGGCAGTCTTTCTGCCTTCTGAGTTCTGAGGCTACAGGTTGTGCTGCCATACCTGGAATTTTGTCTTTTCCGCCATCCCTACACATTGTGCTGTGTTGGTTAGCATTCTATTCCCAGGTGTGGGAACACTGGTTTTCGCTTGTAGAGAAAGTGCATGTTAGATAAGCTGTTGGCAAGTAGTTCGGTGTTAATGACTTACTAGTGTATATTTTTTAAAAGCATATTTACACAGAAACATCTAAAACTACTATGTATAAATTGGATTATGAAAGGGTTGTGATGTCCTACACGATTAATGGTTTAATATTCAGTGTTCAGGGCTGGGGAGATGGCTCAGTAGGATAAGCGCTTGACTGGCAAACTCAGGGATCTGAGTTCAATCCCCAGTTCTGCCAAAAACAAAAAAAAAACAAAAAAAAATTCAGTGTTCAGTGAGACTTTTAGCATTTCTAGTTTAATTTTTTGGCTGTACTAGGCTTTGATTGAACTTGGGATGCTCCCCTGTACCACTGAGCTATAGTGCTGCCCTTTTTTCTTTTTTGAGACAGGGTCTCACTAAATTGCCTGGGTGGGGCTTAAACTTTTGGTCCTTTCTGAAGAATTTTCAGTCTTGTCTCAGACAAAGGAGTAACATCTAGAATTTATAAAGAACTTTAAAAAACTACACTCCTATATTTAAAGACCCAAACCAAAAATGGGCATCTGAAATGAATACATACTCTTCAGATTAGTAAGTAAAAATAGTAGGGGCTGGTGAGATGGCTCAGTGGTCTAAGGCACCTACTTAGAACAAGCTGAGCTAAGCAAAAACACAGAGACCGCGGTTCAATCCCCCAGCACCACATGCCAGCCACCCCGCCCCCTGGTGGGCTGAGCTGGCCACACACACACACACAATAAATAAATAAATAAATAATCTTTAAAAATAAATAAAAAATAAAAATAGTAAATAAATGTATGAAAAAATGTTAAACACCACTGGTCAGTCAACAAATGGAAATTAAAACCACTCTGAAATTCCCTCTCCAGAAAGAATGGCTTCCATAAAGAAATCAACCAACATCACATGCTGTTGAAGCTGTGGGGAAAAAGAGAGCCTGTATTGTTGGTGGGGATGTAAATTGATGCAACCAACATGGAAATCATCATGGAGATCTCTCAGTTAAAACTAGAGGTTTCATTTGACCCAGCTATTCCCCTTTTAGGTATCTTCCAGGAAGAGTTTAAAGCACTATACCACAGTGATATGTGCCTCCCCATGTTCAGAGCAGCGTAATTTGTAAGAGTGAGTCTTAGAAACAGCCCAGGCACCAGACAACAGCTGAAGGGATAATGGGACATCACTGTCCCATAAAGAAGGCTAATTTGAATCATGTGTAGGAGGGTGCACCTCGAGGCCATGACCTTTAGTTACATAGTGACGCTCAGTGTAATAGCGTGCTCTTCCTCTTGTGCGAGGAACTCAGGGTGAGTGGTGAGTGAGCGTAATGCAGGCAGGTCGGGAACTGGAAGAGGTGTGCAGGTGGTGGGGGAGCAGCAAGGCATGGGGAAAGAGTGGGAGCAGCTCGGGCGGGGGCGGGGGCGGGGGCGGGGCGAATGAAGTCGGGCTGGGTGCCAGCGGTAGATTCCCTGCGGTGATTGCGATCAGTGTGTATGGCAAACAGGTACTAAAAAGGATAAAATTTAAAACAGTTTTTGAATGCCGAGGTTTTCCGGCCCTGACTCTGCCTCCCAAGTGCTGAGATTCCTGGCACATGCCTCCACACCTGGCTTCACAGGGAGTTGAACAAAGTAAGACTGCCAGGGACATAAATACCGACCGTATTTGAATAAATACTATGGTTACAACATTTCTTTTCCTCACTGAATAAACTAAAATATACTTTATCTATGGGGTATGTAAGCCACTGAGCTGTCTCCCCAGTCCTTTTACTTTATATTTAAAACATGTAGGGTTACCTCTGGCACCGTGTCTGCCTCCTTGTGCAACGTCCTGAGTTCAATTCCTGATACCAAAAAATACATATATATAAAGCATATCATTTAGGGAATATGTCTGTTGGCAGTTTGTGTAAAGTATTCAAAGTATAAGCCAGATGTGGCATATGCCAGTAATCTCAGCACTCAGGAGGCTGAGGCAGGAAGATCGTTCCAGACTAGCCTGGGCTACAAAGTGAGCTCAAGGCCAGCCTGAGCTGCATAGCAAGACCCTGTCTCAAAAAGACAGACAAAACAAAGCAAAACATATTCAAAGTATGTTGAAATTGTATGTGGAATGCAGTTAAATGTTTAACGTTATTAAACGTTTTTCTGTTTTTTATTATAACTGAGTTTTTAACGTAATTGTAATATCAGATACAGTGTGGTGCTTTACACATATATTAAGTAATCAGTGTAATTAGCATGTCAGTGCATCATATCCTTGGTGTGAGCTGTTGAAATCCCTAGCTATTTTGAAATATACATTACATTATTATATTTTAACCATTTCATTAGTGTTATGTACAGTCATATTTTTGTGCATTCGTATTATTTTTTAAAAAGCAGAATTATGTAGAAAGTTGTCGCTGAAGCTTTAAGAAGTACATGCAGGCTGGGCTGTGGCTCTTGTAGCCCTTGGCTTAGTTCACTCAGCAAACCAGAATGAAAAGTATTTGGAGTTAAATACAGTGTATCAGTTTGTCCTCACCCCAGCATAAGACAAACCAGAACCTCAGGAATATCCCTGAACACTTGGTATAATAGCACCTTCTCAGTCTTCTCATACGCTTCAGAAACTGCCCTCAATTAGTGAATGGAAATCTCTGGAATTTAAAACTCTTCGTCTATTTCTGCTTGATTGATATAGTCAGAATGCATTGTAGGACAGTGCTGTTTTTAATTGCTTTGTACTCACAGCCTCCCCTTCTGTTTCAGAGCTTTTTTAGGACCAAAGGATATATTTCCTTACTCAGAAAATAAAGAAAAGTATGGTAAACCAAATAAACGAAAAGGTTTTAATGAAGGCTTATGGGAGATAGACAACAACCCAAAAGTGAAATTTTCAAGCCAACAGGTAAGCCATTTTACATAAAATTTAGTTTAATATTTAGTAGTTCAGTCTTGCAAAATACTTAGTGCTCTGTGAGAAAATAAACCCTAACATAAAAGCCTCTGAATGTCAGAGTAAATTGTACTCATGAGGTCAAACCTTTACATTTTATGTATAGATGAATTGCTGAAGTTACACGTTACAGGCTGGGGACGGTGGCTTATGGCTGTAATCCCAGCACTTGGAGCTATGACAAGAGCACCATGAGTATGAACCCAGCTTTGGCAGTTCATTTAGCACCGCCTGGTCTCAAAATTAAGAAACACAAAAAGTTCTGGTGTGCAGATTACAGGGAGGCTCTGGGTTCATTTCCCAGCAACACACACACACAAGCACGCGCACACAATGCGCACATACACAGAGTTACTAATTGTATGGGTAAAAAGATCCCAGAAAACAAATACTCAGTTGAAGTCTTTTGATTGAAAGTTTGATTCATTGTTGAACTTACAACCATATTATTCTCATATTTTTTAATCTAGAAGGTGTGTGATTTTGTCTCAGTTCTAAATCCATGCTAGAATGCTAATCAGTATTATAAATGTCACACAGGTTAAATTAAATGTTAGAAGTATATCTCCTTGCCAGTGACATGCAAGGTCTGAAAGAGCTATCTTTTTATGTATTGTGTATCAAAAGGTTTATTAATTAATGTTAGTACTAAACTTTCATGATGTGATTTGCTTTTACTGAACTTGTGTGATTTTTTTTCATGTGACAGAAGTTACTGTTCCTTAATTTCTTTCAGTCCTAGTACTGACTTTTTTTTTTGAGGTACTGGAGATTGAACACAGGCCCTGTGTGTGCTAGACAAGGACTCTTTATCACTGGACCTAAATCTTCAGCACTTTTTTTTTGGTGCTACCAGGGATCAAACTCAGGACCTTGTATTTGCCAGGCAAGCACTTACTCCACTAAGCTATTTCCTGGCCTCCTTTAGTACTTTAAAAACTTTTTTTTTATTTTGAGACAGTCTTGATATGTTGCTTACACTGGCTTTGGACTTGACATCCTCCTGCCTCAGCCTCCTCTGGAGTTGGGATTATAGGCAGGCTTTGCCACTCCTCCTGGCTGACTGGTCTTAGTGTTATTTTGAAAATATCTTTCTGTGTTTCCATTTGTATTCTTGAACTATATTTTCCCTTTTTAGGCAGTATTACGCTTGAAGCAAGGGCCTTGTGCACATAGCCAGGAGCACCACCCAACTGACATCCCAGGCCTATCTTCTCCCCTTGCCACTTCCTCATCCTCGTTTTTTTTGTTTTTTGTTTCTGTTTTTTTGTGTGTGTGTGCTTCAGTGGGTGCTAGGCCGGCACGATGCCCCAGGCTTCCTCCTTGGCCCTGTGTGGTCTTGTCTGTACTTCCAGATCGTACATGCTGGTTACTCCAGCATGTGTTTCCACTTTCCACTTGATATCTAGGTAGTTTTGCCCTAGAGATCTAAGTTCTACTTCACAATGAAAGTTTTGATAGGTTACATGAATAAAACCACGTAATTTTCTGTTTTTACCCAAAGTACACCTGATTGTGTGGGTCAGATGCCCTGTGACTCCACGGCCCAGACATGTTCCCAGTGGCATTTTCCTAGGGTCTGGGGAAAGCAAAATCACTTGGCCGTCATGAGCGTTTTTGTTGAGACGTCTCCCTGTGCAGTTCAGGCTGGCCTTGAGCTCAGTTTGCAGCCCAGGCTGGTCTAGAACTCAGTGATCTTCCTGCCTCAGTCTCATGAGTACTGGGATTACAGGCCTGCGCTACCATGCCTTGCCCTGAATTTTAAGTTTGTGTGGTGCTGTGAATTTCAGAACATTTACATATATTACTAATAATAACTTTGGGTTTTAGCATTCCTCTGTTTACAAAAGAATTGGTGCTCAAAGCTGGGATGGTCAGAGCACTTGTCTAACTGTTATAGAACCCAAGTTTGATTCCCCAGCACCATAAAAAAAAAGTGCTGAAGGCTGGGCATGGTGGTACAGACCTGTAATCCTAGCACTTAGGCTGAGGCAGGAGGATCACTGTGAGTTTGGGGCCATGCTGGATTACAAAGTGAGTTCAAGGGCAGCCTGAACTACAAGTGAGATGCTGTCTCAAAACCAAAAAAACACCAAAAATAAAAAAGCTAAAATACTTTGTGTTTTGTATGTAACATTGTGGTTTTTCTGATGAGGGGTGCTGAATCTGTAGTAGCACTGAATTATTTCTATTATTAAACTTTTACTTATTTTGTATTATCAGGGATTAACTCAGGTCCTTCACAGTGAGCTATATCCCCTATTTCCTCACCCTTTTAAATAAAGTTTTTATTTAGAGACAGGGTCTTACTATGTTGCTCAGGCTGGGCTTGAACTTTCAGTCTCTTCTCAGCCTCCTGGAGTACAAGGATTACAGGAGTGCACCACTGTGTGTGGCAAAACTATTTTCACATTGTATATATTAAGATGTCAAAGGAGGGTGAGCCAAATAGCTCAGCGGATTAAAGCGCCTGCTTAGGCAGATACAGCAGCTGGGGCTCAATTCCCCAGGGTGTGCTGAGACGGAGATGAGAGTGGGTGTGGTGGCGTGGGCCTGTAATCCTAGCTCTTGGGAGGCTGAACGCAGGCGGATCACTCCGAGTCCAGTCTATGTAATGAGACTCTGTAGACCCTTACTAAAAGAAAAAAAGTCAAGGCTCAGGCAAGAGGATCTCTCAGAGCAAGCCTGGGCTATATAGGGGGATCCTATCTGAAACCCCCTCCCCATGAAAAAAGTTCTATGAAAAAGGTCGTAAGTGCAACATTTTTAAATCGGAGATCCTTTGTGAAATTAATAGAGTGTTGCTTACAGGCCTCAGCTAAACAGTCAAATGCATCATCTGATGTTGAAGTTGAAGAAAAAGAAACTAGTGTTTCAAAGGAAGACAGTGATCACGAAGAAAAAGCAAGCAATGAGGTATGTCTAATCTCTCTTGCATTTTCATGGAATTTTGAAAGGAATTGTGAAATGAGTTGACCACGACAAAGCAGGAATGAATTTATTTTTTTATTTTTTTTTAAAATCTCTGGGAGGTATGGACTTGAGTATCTTTTTTTTTTTTTTTTA